GACATGAGACGAAATTACAAAAGAAAAAAAGAATGCAGTGACAGCTGTCTTAAGGGACCACCCACGGAACTAACAGAACTTGGATGTCTGGTAGAGAGGATGCCTTTAAAAACAGATGAAGCAAAATTGTACAAGACAGTTTGGCTCTACATTAAAGCGATTGTTGAAAAGTTAGCTATTGAATTAGTGTTTAGCCCAGGTGTAACAGATTGCAGAGGCACAATCTGATCTTGGATTATTTTCCTTTGGTCAGAGGAGACGCCATAAGAGTCCAGTCAAATTTCCACTAAAGTCAGCTGGCGGCTGTGTTTCCACTGATATCAATGAAAAATGGGTCGGGACCTAAGGATTACGACTTTGGATTCAGACTGGAGAGAATGGTAGGGGCAGATTCCCTCACCCAGAGGACATGGGATTGGACTCTACCTCAACACACTGGATTTGATGCTCAGTTACATCCAGATCTCTGCACACCACTCTGGGAATGAGCGTGGATTACGAGATTCCATTTACAACTTACTTCTGTTACAGCCCTTTTGCCGAGCCACAGTGGCATTATATAGGCATTACTGTAACAGACAGCCAGACCCAGGCAGTTTTTTTCTAGTTTGCCTGTTTTTAATGGTTTTGTTATATATAAACACTCACCACCAAGAGGAAGAGAGACTTTCCTGCACCTGGTTTTTCTCCTTACTCTGCCATTTTCATCTCACTTATTTATTTTTTTTTAATTGAAGAGACCAGTGATGACAGCTTCACCCCTTAAAGTCCACTCTGATCTCTAGATTTTATGCAAGACTCTATAATGTCAGGTATTGCCTTCAGATATCACTAGTCAAAACTCAAACCATTTTAACCCTGTAGTAAGGTTATTATGCTGGCTTATCTTCTTGATTTACCATCTGTAAACTTAATTTTTAAAAAGAGCTATAAAAAAAGTGGAGCCTTTTAAGTACTGTAAATAAGTGTACCAAAGTTACGTATTATTGAGAGTTTAATGATCTGGAAAAAAAAGCTAGTGACCATTTAAAACAAAGAAGTAGGGGTCACCAAATTAAATTCATAGGCAGCAAGTTTAAAACAAACAAAAGGAAGTTTTTCTTCACAAAGCACACAGTCAACCTGTGGAACTCCTTGCCAAAGGATATTGTGAATGCCAGGACTTTAAGAAGGTTCAAAAATGAGCTAGATAAATTCATGGAGATTAGGTCCATCAATACTTATTTGCCAGGATGGGTAGGAATGGTGTCACTAGTCTCTTTTGTTAGGGTCTGGAAATGGATGACAGGACACTGCGCTAGATGGACTTTTAGTCTGACCCAGTGTGGCTGTTCTTATGAATTAATATCTCATACCTCTCTATCTACAGGACACAATCAAGATCAGTGCCCCCAGTGTGTTAGGCACCATATGAACACAGAGAGAGAGAGTTCCTGCCCCATACAAATTACAACTTAAGCAGACTCTGAGAGATGATAAAAGTCTCAGAGAGGTGGCCATGTTAGTTTGTAACTTTAAAAATGAGTAATCCACTGTAATGAGAGACAGTCCTCTTCAAACACTAGTGTTCATCCTGTAGTGCATTGGACTTGACACACGTATGTTTGAAAACATATTCTAGCTACATTTTTGCTAGCTTTCCTACTTCTGAACTGTCCTGCCCTCAACCCAGTGCTGAGTGTACTCCCTGATACTTAGCACCCTGCACGGGTACAAAATTTGGATCTGCTTAGGGATGTAAAATCCTATTTACTTGTTTAACCAGTTAAACATTAGGTTTCACCAGTTCAATTAAAGGGGGCACAGGTAGAGGGGCTGGTTCAGCCCCACTGGGCTGGATTCCCCCTTCCCCCCTTGCTGAGGCCAGGCTGGAGGAGTCTGCACACCAGAGGCAGAGGGTGTGCCATCCTGGTCAGAGCAGCCCCTGCCTATGGGGCACATGTGATCCCGATGGACAGAAGCTGCTCGCAACAACTGCAGCAGCCCATCTCTGCAGTGAACCTCCTGCAGGGCTGGAGCAGCCCAGTGCCCACAGCAGGCAGAGAGCTGCTCCAGCCCCCACTACTTAATGGTTTACCAGAACCAGTAAGCACCACCCATTAAGGGTGACACTTATTGATTAACTGCTTAACCATCCACATATCCCCACTATGTATCAATCTGCCAAAATGATCCGCAGATATAAAGTGGATATCTGTAAGAGATTTGCCTGTATTTCCAAGTTAGCAAATAGTTTTTCAGATAAATAATCTTCTACTAAACCCAACACACATGAAAGGAAAGTACCTCCCTGCACTTCCAGGAAATGCATTCCTGTTCACATACTGAACCAGCTTGGAGTGGGGAAACCCAACTTAATTGTCAGATGCATGCTGGATTCCCTAAACAGAGGGATATTTACACTGTGCTCTATCAAGACTGCTGTTGTAAGAAAGGTGCTTCACTCTTAATTTCTACCCACACATTATTTGGATTACTTGATTTCACACCTGACAATGATGCTCTTCAACTAACACACTCACACCTATTATTAACTAGTACAGGTTGAACCTCTCTAATCCAGAACTCTCTCTTCCAGAAACATCCCTTGTCCAGCATGATTTTAGTTAGCTGGATGTCCACTTTTCATGCATGTGGCCAAGTTTCCCCGCAGTACCATGAAGTTTGGTTAGGGCCACCAGTCCTAGCTCTCAGTGTTCTGTGCTGTTATTTAGCTCTAATTTACCCCTACATGTCCTCTGAGAGCCCAGTAAGCAGTGGAAGTGTTGGTAATGCTGCTAGACAATATTGACCTCCCGTGATCCAGAAAATTCTCTCGTTCAGAACCAGTCAGGCCCAAGAGTTCCAGATTAGAGAGGTTCAACTTGTAGTGTTTTAAAATTTTGTAAGCCGCCTCAAATATTTTAAATAGAGAGGCGGGGTAAAAATATTTTAAAATAAATAATAAAATTATTGTTATGGACCAACTTCTTGATACCTATTGCTTCCGGGTCATGATTTTAAAAGCGCCTAAGGGGACTGAGTCTTGGGAACATTCAATGGAATACAGGCTCCTAAGTGACTTGGGAGATTTTGATCATGTATTGACTGATGTAACTTATTACTGAAGAAGAACCCTGAGCGTGTTAAATTCAATAAAGCTTAAGTTAATGAGTCACTATGATTTAAATGTTAATCAAGTCAGAGTCCTGGTTCCTAAAGGAATGGTAACTGCCAAATTTCACATATGTAAGGTTATCTGCTTCCCCCCTCCACTGCATGGCAGGGAAGAGATCAAAAGGGCAGTAATGCTGTGCAAAGTGGCATGCGAAAGGGGTCACACCATGGGAAAGGCAGCTATGGAATATGATCGCACTACTAGATAACTGGTAGCCCCTCTGTTCCACTTCCACATCGATGAAGGCAGGGCCGGGGAAGAATCCTAACCTGCAGATGAGGCAAAAAGCAGGGAACATACCCCTTTACACAGGGCATTCCCTCTAGAAACCAGTGGCAAATCCACTTGCGCTGCTCAAGGCAGTGACAACACACACTGCACAGCATGTGAAAACCGCCTGGACTTGACATTTCCCCCACCTATTCTTCAATAACTGAAAAGCAGCTGGTGCATTTTCAGCTTGTTATTATTTATTTCTGGATCAAGAGCTAGGATGAGACATGGCAGCTGAGAGGGTAATCTGAGTGTTGGGGTTTTCAAAGGGCGGAAGATGGGTTGAGAACAAAGGTGCCAGCTCAGGGAGAGTCACAGAGATGGACAGGGCCTAATTGGTCAGGGAGGGTAGGACGTTCAAAAGCACCATGGCAGTATAAGCAAAATGCAGGACAAAGCTACCCCAGACTAACACGGCTACATTTCTATCACTATTCTACATGGCAGTATAGGTATCCAGCTCAGCTAGGGTGTGCTTCCCGTTAGGGCTATGAACAATTAACTGGAGCAATCCCCTACCCACCATGGGCCAGGGACGCTCCAGCCCCACCAGAAAAGCCCTGGCCTTGGCAGGACAGGCTTGCCCCATTTACTCAGTTTACTGGTTAAAGGTTATGTTTAACCAGTTAACTGATTAACTGGGATTTTACACCCCTACTCCCAGTCATTGAGTAGCTTTCAAAAAAAAAAATCCTCCATGGACCTGCCAGTGCAAGACTGCCCCCTATTGTGTGAGAGACACAGGATGGGGGAGACCAGGCAGTGGCTCTCAACTTTCCAGACTAGCCTACCCTGTGCAGGGGTCTGATTTGTCCTGCAAAAGTGTCACCTCCCTTAAAGACGACTACCTTACAAAATCAGCCAGGAAAATACGCAAGTGCCCCAGTCCATTATTGCTGAAACATGCCTCTCTCCCTGGTACCACAGGACTATCCAATTAATGGAACGATCACCATCCTCCTCACATCTCAGGGCACAAAGTATGTACAGCAGTGCGCGCACAGCAGTGTCCGTGTGAAATCTGAGTTTGCATGCACTTCCCCAGGGCTTTCTCTGGAGCCTGTGGCAAAACCAGGCAAGTATCTCGAGGAGCTGCTGCACCCCCAGGGGCTGTGGACCAGAACCACTGAGGTAATGACTGCTGTGGGGCAGGGGGGACAAGCTTTGGGGAGAGAACCAGACCAGGCAGAGGGGTGTCATGGGGGGCAGCACCCCCACCCTGCTGTAAGGCAGACGGGGGGGGGGGGCAGAGCAGCAAACAGCACCAATCCCCCTCCCCCCACTCAGGTCGGGGGGGGAGTTTCCCACGCGGGCCCCCCCTCCAGCTCCCGCCTCTGGCGCCCCACAGCGGCTCCCGGGCTCGGGTTCTCCCCGCGTGCAGCCGGCTGAATCATGAATGAGCCCCGGGGGCTGGCAGCGCCCCCCCCCCCCCCGGCTCCCCGGGCCAGGGGCTTCGGGCGCCCGCACCCTGCAGCGCGCCCCGCCTCGTGGGGCTCCCTCCCCGGCCGGGAGGCGCCGTGTCCTGCTGCTGCTGCTGCACCCGCGCCGGGGGGCGCCCGTCAGGACTCACCTGCCGCCGGCGGGGGCAAGGCTGCGATGAGGCCGGCGCAGAGGAGCGCCGCCCGCAGCGCTGCTGCCCGGCCCTGCATGGCGGGAAGCCCCCTGCCTTCCGCCGTCCTGCGTGGGGCAGGCTCCGCCACTCCCCGCGGCACGCCACGCGGAGGGAGTCAAAGGGGCTCCGGCGCCGCGTGGCTCACGGACACGCGTGGGAGAAAGACGCTCCGCCTAGTGCTCCACGTTGTCCCTTTGCAAACTTCCCGGTTGCCCCCAGCTGGGGGGGGAGGCAGAGCCACAGCCACAGCTCTGGCTGCAAATCCGAGTCTCCGCTTCCCAGGGCTGCGCGTGTGGGGGGGGGCTCTAGTGCACCCCGCTTCCAAGCCACCAGCCCGGTAGGCAAATCCGCTCGGCGAGGCTCCTCGGAAACTTTCTGCGCCCAGCCGCGTTCGCCTGCAGACTCCCGCTGGGCTGGCGAGAACGAAGCAGAAGAATGAAAAGGGCGCTGCTGCTAGGGGGGGTGCAAAGTGCTCCCCCTCCCCTGCACACCCGCTTGCTTTACAGCGTGTTCGCTTTCCCCAGCAGCTCCTGCCATGTGTCCGGGGGGCGCATCAGAAAGGGCCCTTTGCAAAGACAAAAGAACCTTCCAGGGAGAAAGCCAGAGAGCCCAAAGCCACGTGCCTGCAGAAAATGCCAAACCCGGAGCCGGGATGCCCCGCTTAAAGGAGAAGGCTCCTCCACTCTCACTCCCCCCCCCCCCGGGTGGGGCTTCAAGGAACTGGCAGCGAGTCACGTGGGAGAGCGAGCAACCTGATCCCCGTCTCCATTCCGCAGGAGTTTACAGACTGGCCTTTTGTCTGAGCTTGGATCCAAACTAGGGACGCAGAGCCGGGGCGGGGGAAGGCAGCAAGCGCTCTCTCCCGGGATCCAGCAGCTCCCACGGGGCAAGTTAGTCGGTAGTGCAGTCACTTAGGATAGGATCCTGGTCCCACGGACGTCAGAGAAGTGTGCTACTGCCCGTGGAAAAAACAGGACTGGGACCTAAGCAAGCAGTTGCCCAGTGGCTTAGGAATTAGGGCAGAATACTGCAGCATTTTTTAAAAAAAATTGAGCTCTTACAATGGGGCAGCATAATCCAGTGGCTAAACCAGTGCAGGAGACAAGTGACCTTGGGCAATCACTTCACCTCATTCTGCCCTCCTAGCCTTTGTCTGTTTCACATGTAAGTTTGAGACAGGAATGTTTTTTTACCATTTGTTTGTACAGCACCTGACACAATGAGCCCCCACTCTTGTCTGGAGCCTATCCCTACTACTGTAATAGAAATACTTAATCCTGGCATTAATATAGTACTTAGGTGTAATAACAATTAGCCACCAGCCCTTGTTTTAACATTTAGGGCATTGATTCGGTAGAGCACCATACAGACACAAAGGTCTCTCCATATGGATCTGATTCCAGGATGAGAGTTTAGCTTATCTCTGGGGGTAGGGACTCTCCTTATATTTATTTGTACACCAGCCAGGCCACTCTCCAGTGGTCAATAAATAATAAAAACTTAATACATTTTCAATGGCACAACAGGACCTAACTCTCAAATGGCTTTTTCTTTTAGTGAGGTGCCACTTTTGATATGAAGAGAAAAAATGTTTTCTTAGCAGAGACTGCAAAACTAGCGGCAGCACCTCCATCTGTAAATATACGTAAGGGATAATGTCAATGGAACAGAACGCTGTCATAGGATAATGGTCTCCTGCTGGTACTTACAGAAAATAAATGTCCGGGCAAATTCTAGTTATTTATTATCAAAGCAGGAGGCACTCATCCTCTGCCAGTGTTGAATTCTAGGGACTTTATTTCAAGTACCCCAAATACATGGCTGATGTAGATATTTAATCCTGTGAGGCAGAGACTGAATCCCTTGCTCATTTTGCACACGTGGTCCCACTGAAATGAGGGGTGTTCTGATTCCCCCACCTTGGTGCTCCCTTTCTTGGACAAATCTAACCCAAAGGAAGCAAAAACAAGTTTGCTGAAAACAAAACTCTGTTAACAACTGTATTTTTTAAATAAATATTGAACCTTACCTAAATACAACTGAAAGCTGCCTGCTTTTCCCTTCTTGTGTGTGTGGAATGAATATCTCCTGCTCCAGCAGCCTCTTAAAAGTGAATGGGATTTGGAGGAATTGGTTTAATTACCATATTTTTGTGTGGCCATGCTGTTGGTTTTGCTAGAATACTACTGTATATTTGAGAGAGTTTGTCCATCTGTCTCTTTAGGAACTCCTAAACCGTAAGTATTCAGCTTCCTCTTATCTTAACAAAGCAAGATAAGAGTTTTGTTGTGCCAGGAAAATGGGATGTGCCTGGAATGGGATGGTTTTATGAGAAGCAAAACAGAAAAGAGACAGAATCGCCAAGCAGGTGAAAAGGGCTGGCTGGGGGTGCATCCCCCCACTAGCCCAGAACTGCCCCAACCCTCAGCCTCCCATCCCCCAAGCACCCTGTAGGGAGAACCGGGGGAAGAGAGCTGAACTTCTCCCCTCTCCCTTCATACAGGAACATTGCTGGCTGTCCCCATTGTCAGGGAGTGAGGGGAAAGTGCACAGTTTGCTGTATTCCTCACTCTGGCTGGGGAGCACAGGGGGGCAGATGAACCTGGATCTGCCCCAGCCAGGGGACGTGTACCCCTCCTGTGCCTGTGCCCACTGAAGTTGCAACTGTCATGGAGAGGTGCTTCTCACCTGTCCCCAAGCTGCTGTGATGGTGAGAAAGCTGGAGCAGTCCTCTCTCCCCAGGGCAGCTTGTATACTGAGCCCATCATCCCCAGCCCCACCCCAGAACAATGATTCAAATGAAGCGTGGACATTTTAATGTTAATTTTCCAAAAACTAAAAATTGAGTAAATCTTCTGGTATCAATATATGGTGGGAGGAGGGGGGGTTTCTTTTTTAGTGCATGACCTCACATTGTAGCATAATAGTGCAATTTCTCATAGGAAAGAATTGTTGGACTCAATCACACTCCCATTGAAGTCAATGTGATTATTGCCACACACTATATAACCCAACTGGCTTCTGATTGATTAAAGTGTTGGCAAATAAAGGCCAGCAAACCAGCAACTGGACTCATTAATTCAGATTCCTTTTGGTGCTGTTTGTTATAAGATGGTAACAGCAAACATGTTTTTGTTTGAGAGAGTGTAGGAGGTATCTTTAGGAAGAGCATTTAGGCATTTGCTCTCAGGTGGTTTTATTCAGGTCAGACAGACAAGCAAAGAATGATAGCCTGGAATTAAACCAAAGTCAAGTAAATATTTACTACACAGACTGAACTTGTGTGTCTTAGCAATGTTGGTTTGTTCTTGCTTTGTGTATTTTTTTACAGTATTCAGGGTTTTTGTCTGAAAAGAGATGCTCTAAGTTCCTAGAGTAGTATAAGGAATATATTCTGCTATTGATATTAAAAAGTAAAATTTAAAGAATGTTAAGGTTGCAAATCCAAATATTTAAAAGCTAAGAAATGCCAGAAATAAGTTGCTGATACTTGATTCAGCCTCTTTGTATGCATGTGCTATGCTGTAGTCTTTAAATACAGAAATCATATACTGTTTTTCCACTGGACTTCAACTTCTTTCCCTCCTCCCCAAGAGGAACTAGTAATTTTAAGTATTTGAGCACACAATTTGAGATGACTTACAGGAGACAGATTTTTCAGAGGGCGATTACTTTCTGTAAATCAGGCCCCCTAAAAATGTCTCCAGTTGGACATCCAACATCACTAGTCACTTTTGATTATATGCACATATTTTACATGTAACAATAAATTATAAATTGAGTTGAGAATCTGATCTTAGGTACACTGGTGTAAATGTGAAGTAAATCTACTGCATTCAATTCAACAGAATGACCTCCTGTTCACCCCAGTGTATCTGATTTGAGAATAATGTTTTGTTTCTGATATTCAGTTGTACTTAACAAGCTGCTGAAGTCTCACTTTAAATAAAATCTTTGTACTAATAAGATGTGAGCTGAGCATCCTTTGTCACAATCCAGTCTGTTCTTAAAAACTGATCACTTACTAACAGAAATCAGCACTGAGTTCTGAGATGGAAAGCAAACCTCTTTTGATCCTGTATGAATTCCATAATTCATTATACTACAATTCCTAAAATAACTGCAAGAAACCACAATGTATGCCTAGCACGGATCCAAAAGGCAAAAAGCAATGTACATGATGAGATCCTTGCTGCTTTATCAGGCTATTGCTATTATTAATAATGGAGGTGATTATGATAAAGATAGAAGCAGAGGGACGAATAATGAATACCAGTATGTGCATGTAACCAAAAACAAAACAAATATTTGGCATTCATCCATTTAAAAGCGAGTAGAAATAATTAAGGGAAAGAAGTCTTGGGCCAAAGTCGCCTATGACTTACATAGGGGAAAATCAGAAACAACTACATTGAACTCAGTGGGGAGTCCCTGGTGTAAAACTGGTGAGAGTCAGAAGAGGATCTTGGTTGGAACCAAGACCATCGTAAACACAGGTTGATCCGCAGGATACAAAAGAGACCAAAGAGGAGTGTTTTCCTGCCATGTAACAATCCCCAGGTCCTCCCCAGGCAACCTGCTGGTGTGAAGAGGATGCAGTGACCACTCAGTGGTCTGTTCTTCTTCCCCAACCACCACTCACTTTGGGGACTCCACTCAGGGCCACTCTGAGACATTTTTCACGTGGGCTGCATTGTGCTCAGCCTGCAGTGGCACTTTGGCTCTGGCTCTGGGAACCAGGGCCGGCTCTCTGAGCATTGCAACCTCAGATGTAGCCTCGTGGTTCCCCTCCCTCATACTGCTCAGACAAATTCCAGAGAGAGGTTTTGTGACCCTGTGTGATAGATCACTGCAAAGCTTGTTTTGGGGGACAAGGCAAACTGCTGCTTCTCCCAGTGGTATTCCACGGACTTCCATTGAATTGAACACAAACAAGATTAGGCCCTTAATTACTATATTACATGGGGACAAAAATAATGTTTAAAGAATATTAAAATTAAATTTAACAATAATAGCCGTAGCATTCCAGAGTCTAAATGTTTTGTCCTTGTGCTTTTTCCTCTAGTGTTTATTTTTCATATTTTTCTCGTTTTCCTTCTGCTTTTTTTTTCTTAACTCCTGTATGCACTTTCTCTTCTGTTTTGCTGCTGCTCTTTTCTCTGTCATTCTTTCCTATTTGATACTTCGTTTCCCGTTAGCTTCAGTCTTTCTTTTATTGCTTGTTCTCTCACTCTCGCGCTCTTCCATCCCAGATTTGTTTTCTCTCTACTTTTCCTTCCCATTTTTCCTTTCCTCCTCTTTCCGTTTGTCGTGTGGCCCTGTGTATCCATTTCTACACTGCTCTCTCTCATCCTCACACTTTTTCCCAACAGATCCACAACTCATTTCACAGTCACCAAGTCTTACACAGTTGCAAAGTGACAAGACTGTGAACTGTTGCTCATGTGGGAGAAGAGAATAAATGTGTTGCCAGCTTCAAGGTCCTTTGGAAAGAACATTGACTTCTTTTTCAAAGCTGTGATGACAAAGTACAGTAGCTTGGGGGATGTGGTCAAGTAAGCCTGCCTGTCCTGGTACATCTAGCTCTCCCTTGCACACTGTCTCTCCTTGATTTAGGCTTAGGCTACTTCTAGAGTCCCATCCACCTGTTCAACAAGGCCCGAACTACATATCTCCAACCAAAGGAATC